CACACACACACACACACACACACACACACACACACACACGCACAAAGCAATTATATTTCAAGTAGGGGTCGGTTGTCTCTACTGTCTAACTTAAATATATTATATATTTATGTCCACATATATGCCTACATTACTGTACACATGAAAGTTTTAAGGACTCTTTTAAGTCTGGCTATTGAACCCTGAGTAGTAAAAGGCAATCGAACATCTTGTTTTTAACAACTTTGCTTTGCGAGTCGAGACAGTTTTACTTTCCTCTATATGGCTGCTTGAAGCAACGACAATTGCCAGAAGTTAGCGAGTGCGTCAAAGAAAAACTCGACTCATGAGTTGTTGTCAGGCTGTGCACGTTTGTATGTTTTGGGGGTGTAGCTTTGACAAGAGGGCCGATGGGACAGGGTGGAATGTATCAGTTGCATATTGAATTCTGCCCTCAATGCTTTTCCAGGCTTACCAACCAGCTTTAAGTAATGAGACTAGGTTGAATAGAAATGACATGCATGGAACTCCACTGGTAAATCCATGTGTAAGTCCTGGAGAGAAGATGGACTCTGACACATATCAATGTCCAGGTAGGAATCTCTGATGTCGTCCCCTCTCCATACTTCCCTACATTTTTATTTACCTTCACTGCAAACTTTCAAACACTAACTACATTTTGAGAACATACTGAGGTACAGTTTCAGACTGATGATTTGACATACTTGTATTGTTCAGTGGCCTGCATCACAATGAAGTCCCACTTGTGGTTCAGCCATTTATGGAGGTGGTTGTAATGTGCCTGTTTAAAACACAAACACAAAAAAACATGGAGCTATGGAGGAAACAGTTGAACTTGTGTCACAGCCCTGCGGCAGTGTTGACAGTAACTAACTGCATTATCACCAAAAAAAAAAATACTGACATTGCTTTAATAACAAGTGATAAATGAATCACACAGGGACACAGGATTAAAACTGGGAATATGTATTTTTAATTTCATGAGGCCGCGATTGTGAAGTGGCTGAACTGTCAGGAAGTGTACCACTCAGTCTATGAAAACAGTTATATATTACAGTGTGTGGTTCTCCAGGGGCTTTGTCATAGAAAAGCCCCTGAAAATAAGAAATAACATTTTGGACACATTTTGAGTTAAACGGCTAAAGATGCTAAAATATCTTCATAAAGCAATGTTTTAAATTCCTGTCTACTGAATATTATTCCACCATCTCAACAAATTTGAGTTTCACAACTTACCATGTCACTAACCATCAGAATGGGGATACAAATAGCGATTAAAATGGTCTGTGTCAATAAAAACACATATCCTAAATAGTCTAAACCAAGAGAAGATATACTCTCTGATTATAACATTAACACAAAACAAAAACACAGGTATAAACAAAGAGCTGGGATGAAATTATAAAGTACAACAAAAACAGACAGCAGCAGTTTAAGCATGATTTTTTTTCTACATTCATCTGTTTTCATCTAAAACAAGCTGAGTTCTTGTTGCCACATTACATCTTACATCTGCATCCAGACTCAGTGTGTGTGACTTAAGACAAATCTGGTCTCCCGCTCTGTCAGTGTCAGACAAAATTAAAGCAGTGGACTTTTTTTTTTTTACACATACATGCACACATAGACACAAACGTTTCCCATGCTTTCCCATGTACCTGTTCATAGGGCTCGAGCATGCCTTTCTTGCGGATGTTCCTCTTTGCCAGGTAAATGGCTGCAAAAAAAGGTTACAGTGTCATTACATACAGTTGTATGTCATTAAAACATGGGAAATAACCTAATTTGTTTGTTCAATCAATGAATCAATCAGTGAATTAATCTATCTATCGATCCATTTCTTTTTTATCATCATTCCTCCTCCCTCCCTCCTTCCACCCATCCTGTATACAGTACCTATACCTACCTATCTATCATTTGTGGGGTTTGAATAAAACAGTCCTTTGTTCTGAAATATAATACATAGTAATAATTCAATTTGCTCTTAAACATGTGCCCCTGAAGTCACCACTCAGAACTTGGTTTTAAGTGAATACCAGCTCTGCAGAACTCTGCAGTGTTGTGCCATAATTCTTTCATTGGAGCAATAACGATAGTAACATTACTCATTATATAATAATAAAGCAGAAACCAATACACAATATTGTTTATCTATACATGTGATTGAACAGTCTGCAAGATTCATGGTAAAGAGTCACTGAAGCCCCTAGACCCCACCTCCTATGAAATACTGTACCCACCATAGTCAGAGTCCTCTGCAGCATATTTCTGTGTAGGCCAGAAGTATGGTGTCTGAATAGGTGAAGATTGAAAACAGTGTTATTGATGTTCCATCAGTGTATAAATATAAACAACATAATGAACAAAAAAACTGATAACAGCACTTATAACCAACTCTGTCTCTAAAAATAATGATAGCTATGTGGACAAGACTACTGCACTCTGGTCCACTTTGAAGTGCTGGTCTCTGTGAACTCTGGAGCAGGTCATTTCTGATGTGAACACCCTTCAACCCAAAAACAGGAAGTAGTATATCTGTCATTTCATTGGTTTGAAAAAGTTTTATCTTCCTGTTTTGATGACCGGAGAGCTATCACACTGGCCGCGACCAAAATGTAATCTGGCACGGGACAAACATGAACTCAGGACGAATTGAGATGCCTCCTGGATATTTGGGCTGAAGAGAACAGATCAGAATTACTGGAGAAGGTGCAAAAGAAAACAGAGAGCTCTGCAGATGTAAAGGACACATTTGTTTGGTATAATGACCTCAACAGGATTCTTAAGTTGAGACCCACTGTGATCCTGGTAGATGTTGTTGAGTCATATGGGGAGGACCAAATCATTGTCTTCTGCCGTGGATAGCCACAGTTACTGGGCTGATGTAGGCCAGTTATTAAATGATTTAATACCTGCTGTCTAATCAGATGGTCATATGCGCTATCCTCTAGTGTCTGATTATATGCACTCCAGATCAACACCAGCATAAACAGAACCTAACAGTGCTCCATAATGTACCACATATAGATCATATAGACCACAAATTGGTTGGGATCGTTTTACTTTTACAGATTGAATGACCAGTAGAGCGACGTTTCCACCACATGGCTTTTGTTTACACTTTCTGGGCCACAATCAGTGGGTCTATCCTAAATTAAGTGAAACCCTGTCCAAATTATATTTCCCTGTTATGATAAAGTGTGACAACATAGGCAGCAGAGAAGAAGTGAGTGCTCGGCTGTACCTGGAAGCGGTAGAGGCTAGTATCATTGCATATGACCAGCTTCTTGTGGTTCTGCAGGGGGTAGATGTAGCCATAGGCCACTAGCATGGTGCCAAAGACAAGAGCCTCTGGAAATACAAGACAGGAGGCAGGAGAATGATTGGAGGAAGTCTTGTGTGGAGATGTCATGTTGTATCTTTGCAGTACACAGACTTTACCTTCAGTTGGAGTCTTCATCTTGTTGGCAATCCATGTGATTATGTCGTTACCTGTGGAAACACAGGTAAGAACTGAAATGCTGCAAACACTGTATACATACTATTAATCAATCAGACTCCAGTCTCTCCTAGATCTGATGATGATAGACCAATTGATTATTGGCCTGAGGTTTTTAAGGTACTAGGTACTCTTATCCACAATTTGAACATGGTCTTAGTTGTGGCCAATCCATGAGTAGCATAGAGGTCTAATAACAAGGCATCGCTCAGGTTCGGATCAGATCGGCCATTCCTCTAATCACTCCCCTGGAGGTCTCTACATCTTTCGTGAGACTACGTTGAGACTCCTAAGAATCCTTCCTAAGATCCCATCCATGGACTCCAAGAAGGCTGTGTTTTCTGAAGGGCTCTTCAGTGCATAGACACATGCAACAGATAGTTACAAAGTTACAAAACTCCTGGAAAAGCTGAGAGCCCAGCACCTCTCCAGGAATTTGGTTTTATAAACCATGCTATACATAGAGTAATTCTCTAATGACCACCAAAAGGTCACACTATGACACTCACCCAGGTGGTCCTGGAGGTATCTAGTTGGTACCCCTCACATCCAACACTAGTTCCTACTCCACTTCCTGAGGTTCCTGCCTTTAGATGCCACCTGACCTGCACAGCACTTTACTTTAATAGTGCCTATCCCCGCAAGCAGTGGGCCCACAGGGTAGTGGCTCCATATTGCTCTCTCAAGCTAAGCCCAAATAGGCTCTATGGATCAAGGCTTGGCCAAAAAATGCTTGCCACTGAACATCACAGATCTGGCTCTGAGAGGGTTTCCCTTTTGCAGGCGAGGAGCTTCAGTTCCCATGTTACATGTTATCTGGGTTCTGGTGAGTGTGTCCCATTAACCCTCATCTCTATTAATGTGGTAATTCTCTCAAAGTGTGTTCTTTAAAGTACTTCTGTTATCTTATCTTATCTTATCCTATCTTATCTTGAAGTTGATCGTTGGGATGATAGAGGACAGGCAACAGCAGCAAGACACTTAAAGGTACAGTGTGTAGACTATCGTAATATCTACTTTTGAAGTTGCATGTTGCAGCTGAACCCCCCTCACCTCACCCTCTCCTTCCAAACATGAAAAAGAAACTGTTGTAGCCTTAAGTTTTCATAAAAACTCAATAGATTTTTTTGTCCAGTCTGGACTAATGGAAAAAAAATGGCGTCCTCCGTAGAGCAGACCCCCTCCATGTAAATATAAAGTATTTAAATATAAAGGGTCTTTTCTGGGGTAAAAAAAACTACAATTCATACAATTTAGATGAAATAAACTAGTGAAAACTAATGTAGGATTATTCTACATTAAATTTCTGCCAATAGATCCCTTTCACCTAAATCTTACACACTGGACCTTTAATAGCACAGATGATTAATTAAAGGTAAGTAATTTTGAATGAATCACACAACTTGTGTTTCTGCCCTAACTGTTCATTTTGGAAACTGTTCACAGAAGGTGCTTCTACATTACTCAGACTATCTCAGATCACATGGTGGGTTTGGCCCATATACATCTGTTCTGACCTTTCCCTTGCTGGTGTTACCCCAGATTAAAACGCCACCTTGGCTCCTAAAGCACTGTCCAGATCTCATCCGATTGTGGTTTACTTTATTTAGCCTGTGTTAGCAGCTTAGACAGTCAAGACAGCCTGTCAGTCTTACAGCATTTAATCATCTGACGCAAGTGAACGTTAAAGCAAATAAAGCTCAAGAAAAAAAAAAAGTATTCTGATGACTAAACATTACAACTAAGATATAAGCATAATAACATTCTTTTTTGCACTGCAACACAAATTTAAAGCCATGTACTTTATGCTTTTGGCCACTTGGAGCATCACAACAAGCTGAAAACCTTCAGTCAACTGCACATTTACATATCCAGCAGACACAGAGCAAATTGGTTCATATGATAAATCTGCGTCCAACATTCACTATTTGTGGAACATCATTTTCATTGGGTCAAATTGATAAATAATATAAAAATAAAGATCATTTTGGAGCATCATCATTTTTTCAATCTTACCAGCAATGACATGTGGGATGGTAGTGACATTGAGTTTCTGCTCCGAGCCTTTCACTCCATTTTTCGGGTCCTGCATCTCCACCACTATGGCCTCCAGCTGGAAACAGGATTCATTTACATCAGCCACAATGGAATATTCAAGAATATCACTCATCATCACAAATATTCATCTGAGATTTCCATGCTTCAATCTTAACACTACTAAATACATTAGCTCCCAGTTGAGGGTCAGAGCATCACAAAACAACGAGGGAATATGTATCACCCCTGTCTGCTTTTTGTTGATTGGTTTTTATGTTTGCTGGTAACCAAGATCACACAAAAACAACTAAACAGATTTCCACAAAACTTGGAGGAAGGATGCGGTAAGGGTCAGGGAATTTCTTTACTGTTCTCTAATGGACTAATTCGTGGATCAGGCATATTCAGAGAACTGATATCCCTGACTGTGTGAAACTTGGTGCAGCTTGATTGGGACGTTCCAGTTCAATCATTTCCAGTGTGTTATATTTTCCAAGTTATTAATATCAAGGTATTATATATTTGTTCAGTCCAGTACTTGATTACATTCAAATACTTGTAAATAAAATATCACAATGTCTTTACAATTTCCATTCACAATCCAATGGATCCATGTGGCATGATAATAGCTAGAATTTATATAGCGCCTTTCAAGAGACCCAAAGAAGCTTTACATATGTCTGTGGACACAAAAGAGAAAAGAAAAGAAAGTAATTTGCCCAAAACAGATAAAAATAAACAGCACTAATGGCAGGGTGGAGCGTTAACTGAGGCCAAAGGCCTTAGTGAGCAGGTGGTGTTTGAGTAGTTTTTGGAGGATGTCCAGAGATGTAACGTTACAGAATGAGTTCCAGAGGGTGGGGTCTGCGACATAAAAGGCTCTGTCTCCAAAGGTTCACAGTTTGTTATTGGGGATGGAGAGCAGTCCTGTGTTTGAGGACTGCAGCCTTCTGAGCGGAGTGTAGGGGCGGAGGAGGTCTGTTAAATATGGTGGGGCTAGGGCTTGGAGGGATGGGTGAGAATGAGGAGTTTGTTGACTTTGCTTTGGCATGTCTGAGTATTAAGTCAGGTGGGAAAATCCAACCTGTTAAAGGGCTCTTAAGCAGAAATCAACTGTGGGTCTGTGTTGACTCCGCATTTCTTTTACACCTGTTACCTTTAAGGCCTCATCAAATGCAGTGTATGTAGCAGCTCCATGAGTAGCCCAGAGAGCCCACAGAAACTACCCAATGTATATGTGCCCCCAGTTTATCTGTGTGCCAGCTATGTTCTGTATTTTAAATGGTTTTTATTTTATATAGTGCTTTTCTAGTCTGGTCTTGATGACCACTCAGAGCACTTTACAAATTCTGTTTTTGCCATTCACGCATTCACACACAAAGACCGAACCACTGGGTTCGAACCACCACTGGTTAAAGGATGACCCGATCTATCCCCTGGGCCACAGCCGTCCTGGTCATTTATCATAATTTGCTTTGGAATAAGCACAATATCCTTTTATGACAGGCCCTCATTTTTTGATTTAAGTGCAGGAACTGCTTTAAGTTCAGTATCATTTAAGAAGCTATTGATGTGGTCACACATATTTCCAAACCCATTTACAGTTCCAGAAATCACCACAACATTGCCACACAGTAAACTTTGGCCATGTGTGTTCCCTGGCAGTCTGCAGCCCCTGGACAGCATTCTGTTTCCAGCCCTCAACCTCATCAGGTTGTGCCATTATTATATTCAGAAACTGTATCTCTTCAATTATGTTTGTAGGTAAAAAACTTTTGCTGTAACAAAATACTTTACAAGATATTTGACATCTTCTTCATGTTACATGGTGACTGCTGTGGGGGAGACAAGACACTTAAACCTATAGTTTAATGTGATGTACAACACTTTGCTATATTGACAGAATATACACATTGACAGAATGCTGAATACTTGTATACGAATTACTGCATTTCATCGGGAAAGGAACAACACTGTATGTGGTACAGTCACTCTGAGGTACCTTTACTTAACTTGAGTATTTCTATGTTGTTGTGCTGCTTTAAACTTATACTTCTTATCATTTCAAAGAGAACTATTGTACTTTTCCACTGCTTACACATTATGACCTCAGTAAAAATAATCCATTACCATGACACACATAATGCAACATCGACAAAGGCCCTCCTACATACATAACAAATCATTCACATGTAAATAATTGATAATATATCAGTGATGTTGATAAGATCACTTGCACTTCCATAAACACCACTTGTCTTACAAATCCTTCCTCACAGGAAAACACTTCTCACTCAGGGTGGCTTCAGAGGGCAAACAGGAAACTAGATTCAGTTTTAATTTTTTCTTTCTTTCTGGAAATAGAGACAGTGAAAACTGATATATAATACAGTGAGCAGAGGGATGACAAGCAGTAAGTGGTCGGAGTAGCTGCTCAGGGCGTTTTCTCCCATGTGATTTACTCCCTGCCCACTCAGCTATGGGGTTGCCCCTGACTATATCTAATTAAAAACCTTCTGTCTTATAGTTTTGTATTCTGGTGGCTTGGGTTCGTTAGAGATTTGATTCCTGACATGTCCAGGAGTCTTATATAGGATACAGAGGCTCAATGAGTGATGCTCTGCTGTGCTGCAGATACTGCAATCACTTTAATTTAACTTTATCTAATTTCTTATACAGTGCTGTGCCTTTTTTTTGCATAAATAAGTGAAAGTGAGCATGTCACATTACCCTGAGAGCCCATCTCACGGGTGTGTGTATATATACTCATACGACACATACATTTACATTCCGTTTATAAACATACAGAATTAATATCTACTGCACAGTAGTCATGTAGGCCTACATTCACAAATATAAAGAGAATGCTCATAATGACATGAACATATGACATTTCAACACAACACATTTCAGTATGGAGTCTACACTACACACTACGGTCTTTGCGAGTTGTAGACAATGTAGTTGCTAATCCTTTCATTTACTGATGTACGTAATCTATATTTGTCTTCATTGGGATCAAATAGACTTTAGGTTTTTTGTTATGTATGAACTATACTGCCCTGTCTTTTAGTCATTTTTACTGAATGTATCTTTTTTTTACCAGGTGAGTTCAGGTTTTACTGCTAAACTTTAGTATTCAGTATGCTCCAGAAGTGTAAAGTCTAATTTAACTTTAAGAACTGATGAATCTATAGTGTGGCCTAAATATACATGTATAAGTCAATAATACTTACATACAAATATTAAATTAAGGAGAGTGCATATAAAGGAAAAACCCAATTTATAGAGCTGAAGCACTCAATAAATTCTGACCATAATGATAATAATGATACTACCCACCCACCTTTTTGAGGCAGTGCATACGGGGAGGGAAATGTTGCACCCGGTCAGGACGGGCTGTTCGGATTGTCATATTTGCAGACTAATAAAATTCCAATCAAATATTCAAAAATAATAAAAATATCCCAGTGTGAAATATTCCAGTTATTTAGAAAGGTGCTCACAGAATAGTGTGTGCATACATGCACTCTGTGCACACATTGTGAGAGGATTGTAAAACAGGATGTGAAGGATGGATTTATCCACCAATCAGCTGCAGGGAACTTGGTGCTCTTATCCCCCCTGTAATTCCAGAGAAAAGCCGGTCTGGGTGCTTCTTAAATTAACTTGTGTGAAGAGAGTCAGTGTCAGAGCTGGACCATTTAGTTCAGGTGGCTAAGTATGGAGGCTGGAATGTGTCGCAATCACCAAAGACTTTGAAGGTTGTTTGATAAATTTATATTTTAGAATACAATTAATTAACTTACTATTGTTATGCATTAAAATCAGGCAGTATAGAAAGACAAGCGGGTAAAAGCATGCAAAACAGTTGTTGGCTACATTGAAAATTATGCTGATTCTTGAAAATATCGCTCTCATGCATACGTAGTGTAAATGTGATACAAAGTGCAGCAGATTAGATTAGATTATTTTTGCATAACGGTGGGAAAGTGCTATACTGACTCTCTCCTACTCTTTATGTGTCAGGCGTTTTGGCTGAGTTCATTAACTTCTTAGCATCTACAAAACCTTACAAACGTAATATTGTATTTCAGTATTAAATTAGAATACATAATGTGACACTTAGTGGGCTTTAGAACTGGTGTAAGTGGATATTTATACCTTTGGACAGTGCCAGGCTGTTTGGGATTGTTTTCCTCAGATGTATTATAAAATTACAAATAAAACGAACAAAAGACAAATTAAAATATATTGAAAAATGAACTTCCATTGCATTCTCCCTTTCTGTAAATATCTGCAAACACATCACAACTCAGAGTTTTCATAAATGTCTCCGATCCATTGTCATGAGTACCACTCGATTACCTCTTCTTGTGAACATGGGTCCATTTGAATGCAGCAATATGTCGTGTCCAGCAGATGAGAAAGTAGTTTAGCCATATTTACCAAAAACATCAACTTCAGTTAATGAATACATTTCTCATGTGTCCAACTCTGAAAAAGAATAACTGAATATTATACATGAACTAACCCGTGCAGTAAAATATGTCTTCGGAAATAATACTTGTAATATTAGTGTATTTCTCCCTGACAATTATAATGTACTTTATCAAAATAGAGTTGTGGAGTTACAGACCTTCTCTAATAGTAACAGGTAAATAGGAGCATGGGTTAAAGCGTGGGCGCGCTCACGTAGACCGTCGTGAGCGCGCCTCGATCACCACTGTACCTCTGATTTGTGCTGGATTCAAGTGTGTTGGATAAACCGCAGTTATGATTTGGAGCAGATAAACTCCTCATGTAACAATAAATGCAAAAACAAAAAGAGGTTCCTCTGTAACCTCGGACTTTATATGTTAAACACATATTATTCGATTGACGTGTTTAAAATGTTGAATTAACGAAATCACACATCCAAACTCCAGGAAGATGTAATCGGCGTGGTAACGGGACATATGACAATTTGGCTTTTTTTTTTAATTGTGTAAATTATTTTGTGAAGCCAGAGTGTAGTGGATCGGAACATGTGAATGTCTTTCTGAAAAAACAGAGCCAGTGTAAAAGTTGAGCTCGAGTTCAGCTGGAGGGTGAAGGTTGAGGTGACCGCTGTGCTGCGTGGATTCCTACGACACGTGAACGCAGCAGCGGGCAGGGCCGAGCAGCCTCTAGTCCTCCTCTGTCTGTATCGATGAAGTTGTTTCAAAGATGGCGGATTTCCTGCCGTCCCGCTCCCTGTTATCTGTATGTTTCCCCAACTGTCTCCTCACGAGCAGCGAGGCAGAGCAGCTGCGGAAGTCCAAGGAGATAGATAAGTGTATCCATCGAGATAAGACCTATGTGAAGCGGCTGGTGAAGATCCTGTTACTTGGAGCGGGCGAGAGCGGCAAGTCCACTTTCCTCAAGCAGATGCGCATTATCCATGGGAAGGACTTCGATCAAAAGGCCAAGGAGGAGTTCCGAGCCACGATTTATAGTAACGTTATTAAAGGTAAGGCTCCGCCGAGACCCCGCGGGGGTTCATGTTGTGGCCCGTGTGCCTGCTGCCTGTTCCAGGGTGTGAAGAGTGGGAAGTTGGTAGCATGCTAGCTGCAGCTGGACCCACTCCTGCACTCCACTGTGTTCGACAAAGCTAACGTGGGTTAGCTGCCTCGGCTACCAAGAAACGCCCATGTTATTGGTGTTTGTGTGCACGGTGCGAGCGGAGGGAGCGGCGGCGCCGTCAGTGTTGTTGTTGATCAGAGCTTCACGCGCTCTACGTGTTCCGTCTTATCGTCGGGTCACGCACGCTGCTCGCCGTGGTTTGATCCCACAGCCCCTCATGGCTGCTGTTATCACAGCAACACGCCGCCACAGAGAGCAGGGCACCGGGGTGTGTTTACTGTAAACCCCCCCCAGCATCACGCGAGGCCACGGGCAGCCCCTCTCTCCAGCTGCCTGTCAACTTGTGTGGGAGCTGACACGCCGATGAGTCAAAGTGCGACCTGAACTCCACCGGTGAAGACGTGTGCCGATTCACAGAGCATCCTGTGACATGCTTTCAGAAGGGTCTGGTTTCCGTGGCTGCATGGACAGAGGAGCATGCTGCTCAGTGATTTCAGCTGTCACCTCAGAGTTAACAGAATCACTGATCCAGAATCAGAGCCTTGCGTCAACCGGTCTCCGTCAACATTGAGCAGCTCCCTGTGTCAGCCCTCAGCAGACTTCAGCTTTGTGATGTAGCTAAAAGGATCAACGTGTTGCTTCATGGGACAGTTCTCATTTGGTATCAACCCGAGTCAATTTGCTTACATGGACTCCAGTATTCAAACTATTGGCCGTGTTCAGACGTCAGACTATATTTGAATCATGGTGTTTGCACGAGGTGCTAATAGAATATTCCATTCATATCCCTATGTTACAGAGCATGGCCTGATTGTGACTCACACCATTATGTCCACTACACCATTCAGACCTGTCATTCCACCAGTTTTAAAACACCAACCTGTAAAGTGTAATGCACGATGCTACCTTAAACCATTGTGGGTGTTTTCTTTCTCATTTAGCAAAAACTCCAATTGGACGTTATGATATGATGAAGACATATGCATGTTTTCATACAACTACTATGCTTGGAATACTCCACATGTATTCATTTGATTATTGTCTGGTCCCAGTATGACTTATTCTGGTTAAGGTAATGAGAAAATGCTGTTTACATGGCAGTGTGCTATTCAGCCATTGAAATATTGGTTTTCCATATAGGCATAGGCATTTAAGGCTTCGACATAGAGACACTGAGCTATTTAGGTCAATGAGAGATATCAAAAAATATCCAAGTACTACTTTAGATTAGTTTAAATAGGTTATCCTAGTCCTGTTGAACCTGATTGTGCTGCCTGTCCAACACTGTTCTGCCTCACCAGTTTCCCCCTATGTTTAAACTATTATTATTAAGTTATTTTTCTTTTGCCATTGACTTTGAGAATATGATGTCTCTGTCTTCTTCTGCTTCTAACACAGAAAACACTGACCTACCCTTCTTGCAGCACAAGAAACATCATAGCTTGTTTTTAGTACTTTAGCAGTAAGTGCCTGCTGCGGCTCATCTGTAGAATTCATGATGTTGAATTGATGATAAATGGCATTAGATGGAAGAACATGATAGATCTGTTCCGGAAAGCTTTTACTGTGAAAATCAACTACAAGGAGAGTTCTTTTTTTTTTTTTATCAACAACAAGCTCATGTCTGTCGATCTGTCTAAGCATGCTCTCTTGTTCCTGTGTTTTTCCCCATGATGCTTCAAAAAAAAAACCCACTACCAAAATAGTCTTTTGTTTATTATTGTACATCATTGAGTTTCTAACCTCAGTCCAATACACTACAGCAATTATTTTGGTCATCTAAACTTTTTCAGTGGACTGACTTATATTTCATACAATATGTTGTGAAATTAGTTACATTTACTGAACCCTGCCACCATTTGTATGGAAAACCTGAATGATCATGTATCTGTGTGACACATGTGTTGGCATCAGTCATCTCTGTAGTTTGATTTAAGGGGAACTCATTGGCGGTTGAGTTGTCTCACACATATGGTTACTCATCCTGGAGATGTTAATACATTATATTTTATTAATGTGGCACAGTCATTTACACTCAGGATTCTGATTTATTTCTAAACATGCACTGTGCCTCGGCTACAAGCTGGGGGTTTGTGGGGAGTAAAAAATTCAGTCATCAAGAGTTTGATGCTATGGAAACCATATCATTTGTCACATAGATATCTAAATATATAAATGTGTGTCTGCTCTGAATTGGTTGAGTGCTTTACTGAGATCAATTTAGCTGCAGGCAGCCTCCGTCTTACGGCACTCTAAGGTGTGTGCAGCGTTTCCTGTTTATTACTCAGACTGTGGCGCGGCTGTTCAGAATCGAATTAGTCCTGATTTCATAATGATCTGAAAGTTTTTTTTTCCCTTCCTCATCATTATGTGTAATATCTTTGACTTTCAGTTGTGCAGTGTTGCTTCACTCTGCATCACTGTCACTTGTTTGCTTGCTCTCTCAAAAGTTTTTACAGTCCTTTAACACCAAATCTTCATCCTCCTCTGTCAACCGTCCTTCCATCAGGTTATCAGATTCCAGTCTGTGATGTGTCTCTGCTGCAGCTGCAAGGAGCAGACACTTTCAGTTTATCTGCAGCATCAGACTAAGTATCGATGCCTGATATTTTACATATTCCTTTTTATTTTTTTGACACGCATAGATGCTAAAACTTAACTTTTGTCTGTAGAAAATCAAACAGACACTGGGGCTGGTGAGGCATGTATTGATATATGCCTTAACGTCAATTAATACTGCTAACACTGACTACAGAGTGTGTCGCTCCAAATACTCTGTCACCTCAACACAAAAGTGGAAATAGACACTCTAATAGCAGTCACACAAATTATCTGACAGAAACCGTTGGGTGGGTGTGCTCTTCTCAGAGTTGATTTCTTTTGACATGACTCGATTGTATGATGGTTGCAAACTAGAAACGAATCAGAATTAATAAAGTACTTCTGATTCTGAAAAGGTTTTCCATAAGCATCATCTGCTAGCCTTATGGTTGGACATTAAACATTTCTAGCATAACACTTTATCACTGGTTTGTCACATCACTGTCACTTAACAGAATTATAAAAATAGAAATGTCTCTGATTTAAATGATCAGTTGAGAAGGAGCTTTGATGATCCTCATTTTATTCATCTGGTCTGGGTTGTCTCTTCTTCTTTGCTGCTCCAATATTTACAACTTCTATGCTTTAAAATTGTTGGTAAAGTTGGCGACACTACGTTTGAACCAAGCACCTGCACCACTTCTTCGTCTGCTATCATTCAGTTTACTGTGAGTAGCTGTGCAGGAGAGGTAACCTGTGGAGCCCCTGGTTTTTATGAATCGACTCGTGGATTAAATGGTGTGTCTTTCAACTGTGTGGAAATTTGAAGTTTTCACTTTACAGATGATCAGAGTCACTGTCTACAAGTCACCTAGCAAAACCTGAAGTTTAGTGTGAGGGGGCATCTCTGAAGGTCCACTGTACTGTAGCATAACCGGGCAGTGAGCATGGTTTGCTATTAAGGCCTTTTTATTTTTTCAGTTCATGGGGAATAAGTTATTATCATTGCACTCATTAGAGCAGTAGATATCTTTGTTTTGTGTCTGTCTTTAGTATGTGTCTCTCTTCTTTAATGTGTGACTGATCTGTGGAGACCGGTATTTTGCGCCCATTATATGCGTGAGTGTATATTATGGAAGTGACAACAAATCAGATTCTTCTTTTGCTCACTACTTCACCATGGCGTTGCAAAATTAGCTGTGGAGTCTTAAATAGGGCTTGCAGTCAGGCTGAGTTTGAAAATGTTGCTGGAGATATCAAGTCTGGAGCCCTCAACTCTTTGAACTGAGATCGGAGGTGATAAGCTCTGTCCCGTTTGATGCAAATAACAAGGCGCCAATGACCCATCAGCGACACAAAGTTAAACTGTTTTCACACATGACCTCTGGAGGATGTCTTGAGGATTTGGTCCAGACTTTGTTTTGGCAAAGGGTGGTGCAGCAGGCAGAAGCAGGAGGGAACAAATAAACCTGTTCACATTAACACCAGCGTCGGCTCTTGTCACCACAAACTCCCTCGGCACCTTTGTTCCTACGGGTGTGGCAAAACCTTATCATCCCGAGATATTTCAAATGGTTTTTTATGTTTTTTTTGGTGTCTGTTGCGTGTTAGAAGTGTTATCACCACACTCACTCTCTCACACTGAACCCTGCACAGGATCTCCTGCTGTGCTCTGATATCGGCTCCTTCAGACATTCCGCAGACCTTTTACTAAAAGACTCGCCGGACAGAGTCTGCAGAAAGTCTGGAGGCACTAAGTCAGACATTTGCGTTCACACATATATCCTCTACAGAGACTGTCCGAAGGATCTCTGAAGTTCAGTGCAAATCTGAAAGCAGCATTACAGTGGCTGATTGGGGGGGGAGGGGGGGTAGTACATGTTAACTGTGTATGAGTGCATAACAGGGAAGTGTGATGTGTCAGGCTGGAAAGGCTTGCTCAGCGTCATTCGGGGGGGGGGGAAGTAACTGATGCTTGACGTGGTTAAAGCAAAAAGGAAACTGCTTGTTTCAGTGTCATTTCAGGATAAAAGTTACATCAGTCAGGGTGTGTGGGGGGGTTTTCATGCCTCAGATGAGTGTTTGTCTGACGCACTGTTGACACAGATTACACCTGTTAGTTTTGTGTTGTTAAAAAAAGATTAACGCTTTCATGAAAACTCTACTTTGTAGAGCTGAGATCATCCACCATGATTAGTGTGTCACTGAATCCCCCAATGATAAATCCAGTTGACAGGGCATGATTTAGTCCGATAGGGTAAGTCAGAGCACAAACCATGATGGACGAGGAGCTGCCCGCAGAGCTCAAGACTGGACTGAGTTGAGATTCTGGGGAGAAGGAGCAGAGAGAGAACCTGATGGTCACTCATTCAGAGCGCCAGAGATCCTGTGTGCAGACAGAGAAACTTCGAGAAGCACAACCAATTCCAAGTGTCATGTCTGTGTCCTCCATACATGACCAGAGGATCCTTTGGTTCCACCAGACCGGAGAGTGTTCCTTCTCACAGTGTCAGTCCTTTACCTACTATGTGTCTGCCACTCCCACTGGTTGTTGTCCTTTCTGAAAGTTTCTCAACTTGTGTTCACTGAGCTTTCTTAATTAGGATAACACAACGAGGGATGGATGAGGAATGAGGACAGGATTTTATCATTTCTACCATTTGATACTGTGTATCTGTTTGGTACCTTTATCATTATAATATTGTGATTAAATGTATTACTTTTTTTATATAAAGAAGTTGAGCTTGATTAAACATTTATTTATATTTTAAATATAGTAAATCATATTTTCAGATTTTAGTTCACTGATCTCTTGTACTGATAAATATTGGGTGGATGTAGAGCAGGTCTGGAGATTTCTGTGTGCTGTTATTGTTTAGTGTAACAAGGAGCTGCTTTGTTCACAACAGATGTTATCAGGAAGGAACATTGCTTTTGCGTTTTCAACAACTTTACGGTTAAAAGACCCTGTGAAAGTGATGACAGAGCACTGTTTATACACGAGCTAATATCAGCATTCCTCATATTTACATGTCTGGTAAAAACATGAGGCTATGGATGGAATTACTGAATGTGCATTACACCCCTGTGGCAGTAGCTTGCAGCTCAACACACACAGTCCTGAAGACAGCCAGCCCTCTGTAGCAGCTGCACAATTGTTGCTGCCACTGCTTAAGAATTAGTTCAGACGCACATTAGTCCTGTTGTCTCGTACTGTGCCGTAACAATTAACCTGTCCAGCACTGAAGGGATAACTTTAAGTTTGTTTCATTCTTTCTATAATTTATGAGGCACAAATTATCCATAAATATGTTTAAAAAAAAGTCGCACAGGAGATACGCAGCCAGAACATCATGGTTAAAGTGACAGTAACGACCTTGATTCATGATCCGACACCATCGATTAATATCTGAATAAATCTGATATGTTGATATATGAACCTGTTTGTAATGTGATTATAATGCAGTATTTCTTCTAACGACGTTCATATCTAAGAAGCGATGCCCCTTTTTATCCTGGAACACAAACATATTAATTCACAAGGTTATTATAAAGATCAGTGTGAGTGATTGGAATGAATTAAAAAAAAAAGGGGAGGGGGGGCACTGAAGTTATCTTTTTTAATGACAGTGGCATGCAGAGACAAACAAACTGACATTTGCAAAGTTTGACTGATTACAGCTAATGTGATGAACCTGAACTTTAGTTAAGCTGCGACTGAAAGTTTTCACCACTCATCTGTTAATGATTATTATCCATGCTGTAGTACGTCGATAACTCACTGAATGGTAAAAGCAACATGTGTCTGTGTCCAGGAACAGACGCACTGCTGCTGGCTGACCGATTAGACTGCACGTCACAGACCTGGTGTTAACGTCTGTCCTGTGGGATCCGATCACAAGTGGTCAGCTCAAAGTTCATGTTTGAACACACCCAGAAGTGTCCGGAGGTGGTCTCGGACGCATTTGGCCAAATTTTCTTTGCTGCGTAAATGCAACTCTCTCGTGGGCCACGTATGAAGGACCACCCACTCAGCTGAGTGACCCGCTACAGTTTCATTATGAACCCAACTTACTTTTGTGCTTCTCACTGCCCGTATACTGATTTGTTTGTGGCAACAATATCAACAATGATAATGACTCTCTCTTGCTCTCAAACGCATACCGACACTTCTGTAAACTCAGACTGGATAAACTGGATATGGCATACGTGTGTACATTAGTACAATGAGCGGGAGAGTGGAATCTGTTTACAGGAGACAGATTCAGGACACATTTACAGACAAACTTAATGCTGTCGTATAATTGGATAGCACAAGACAAATGCTAATACCAGGTATGATCAGGGACTTAAACACAAAGGGGCAGAAACTTCGACTACACCATCAGCACTATTAAGCTTAACTGCCAGTTATGTTCTCTCTGGCAATTCAATGCACCAATGACACAAGTAAACAGTTTGGCACACAATTCAGTGAGCTGCACTCTATTTATAGCTGAGAATTGATTCTTACTCACTGACGTCTGCATTGACGTGTTGTACTGATTCATATGATACTCAGACACACATTTACTCGTTAGTCTTGTCAAGTTACAGATTTCAACAGGATCTAGAAGCAGGTTTTTGCTATTTGCAGTTTTAGTAATGTTCGTCAGTTGAACAGTAAAAAAAAAAAAAGGCTTACAGGTGTTCTGAGAGAATCTCCCACTGTTTTGTTCATGTGTGAAAGGCAAACTCTGGAGAAAGTCAGAATCTAATTCTGCGGACATCCTCCAAAATTCATCCCTACAGTTTAATGTTCTTTAATGTACTCTTAAAAAATATATACATTTTTTGCTAGTTACAAATATTTCTATCTCTCTTTAGAGTATCTACATGTCAGTATTAAAGTACAGGTTTGTTCTGGTGTCTTGTTTTCTTTCCCCAACTAAAAAAGCCAAAGCCAGTTTTACTGTCTGTGTTGTTTCCTGAGCAGAGACGGAAAAGTGCATGAAAGCTGCATCTCAGCACAGGAACTCAAGATATGTAGACAGACACAACACACTCACCCTTGAGCTGTCCACACACACACACACACACACGCACGCACGCACACACACACACTGCAGAACAAACTGTGAGGCTGGTATGAAGGGGTGAAACAGTGCAGAGCATTAAGGTAAACTCAACACCTCATCTCTGCTCAATATACTGCTGCCGTCAGTAGATTGCACTCAACCTAAATTAAGTTGTGTTGTTGTTTAACAGAATCAGATTTATGGCTGCAATGATTGTTGTCTTGAATTCTACCATGGTTTAAAGTAGTGCCACCCCAGAGGCTGATTGTAGACATTGTACCAGTGTTCCACATGTGTATACTGGTTTTTACCCAGTTTACACGTATGTTTTGATGACTCTATATAATCAACCGCTCATAGTAATGAATTTGACTCAGGATAAATGTGATCGCTAGAAGTTTCAGCATAGATTTTAGTAGAGGTGGAGCGAGGTTTGACTCCACCTCGCAATTTTTGGCTCTGTCTCCATTCTCTTCTTCCGACAATGATCTGAATATCTTTAATTTATTATCTAGGGTGATTGGCCATATATATTGACGTGCTGCGCGTATGCATGGCACATAGAACACCATTTATTGCAGTCCAAGCACTCTTTTGCGATACGTATATTGTGCATGTTGATATCGTGATGACAGTAAATTTTCAATATATTGTGCAGGGCTAGTGGGAATATTACTTGAGAGGGTATTTCCACGTCAATAAAGCTTGAAGCTGATCAGTCATGGTCAAACCCTGTGGTACCACAATGCATGCATGTGTTTTTTTAATGGATACATGTATCCATGTGCATGTCTTATGCAGCAGACCCGAAAGAAGTATAAACTGTTGTTTGGACAATTCTCCATGAATAGCACAAGTTGGAGGCTCCACAAAGGCGACACTTGTCGCTTGGACCCTCACTTGTTTTCAGTAAAATGTTACACTAGCGTAATACGCTTAGCTCAGTCTGTGGTGTCTGTGGTCTGCGCACGTTCACAAGGGAGTATCACTGAGGCCTAAAGGGACAGTCCCATAAAGTTGCATAAAAAAATGTAAGAATCCTGGGAAACACTGCTCCGCCAGTTGTATAATGTCTCTTGTGGCTCTGGGCCTTTTCAAAGTCTGAAAGAAAAACGTATCACTGATGTTATCAGTGGAGACTTGATATTTATAACTGAAAGACTAAAGACAACAAGTTTTGGAGTCATGGACATTTACCAGTCGGGGAGGATTTAATGAAACTCACTCTTTATTTGCATCATGGGACATGAAATCCAATATTTTAATGTTAATATTATTACAATGGTGGCTCAACACAGTTGGTAGTAGAGGTTTTTCACCCTGATGTTAGTCCACCAGAATATTGGTAAACACAGTGTTCCTATGATGCCAGTTCACATTTTTCTTTTTACTACTTATTCTTTTTCTTCCACATGAATCATATGTCCGTGACAGTGTATATATGATCACTGTCTTAAGAAATGTAGAGAGTAATGTATAATCTTGAACAAAACTCTCTGTCCCTTCAGGTATCCGAGTGTTGGTGGATGCTAGAGAGAAGCTACACATCCCATGGGGCAACCCGTCTAACCGGAGGCACGGAGACAACATGATGGCGTTTGACACCCGGTCAGCGATGGCTCACGGTCACGGCATGGTGGAGCCCAAAATTTTTCAGCACTACTTGCCATCCATATTTGCCCTGTGGGCTGACAAGGGCATCCAGAATGCCTACGACCGCCGCAGGGAGTTCCAGCTGGTGAGTAAATAGTGCCCTATTGTGAGGAACGCTGCTAATGAATCACTGCAATAACTGATTTTGGGTTATGGAGCTTTGGCAGTAATCAAGAGTTTGCGTTTTTAAAGCTTTGTTGACAAATTAATGCACTGCGAGATATAAGTAACAAAGTTGAAATGAAAATCAACTGACACAAGTATTGCAATTCTTTCCGATTTTTTGTAATCCCCACACTAATTCCTGAAACGATTCTTAACTATTTATACTGAGCTGCGGTAATAACAGCTAACAGCAAGAAATTAGCCTGGGAACTAGCTGGTTAGCCTGTTAGAATTGGCAAGTATACCAGATGTTGGTTGGTTCAAATAGCAGCTGGAAGTTGCACATTGTTATAGTGAATAAATTGCCATGTTTAATGACACCACTGAACAGCTAAATGTTATCAATGGAGTTAGGGATTTCAGGGTTAGCTGTAGTCTGTGGGCATTAGTGACAGTGTACGTCATCTGAGGCCACTTTTTCTGGTCGTTGTCTCTACGTGTTTTATTAAAAATTGATCCAAGAAAGAGGATAAGCATATACAGTTTCTGACTGACCTCTGCCTTGCTCCCGCTGCCCCCTCCCTTGCACAAGCATGAATTCTTGCTGATTGGCTGAAACAGTGTTGTGATGTTCTGGTCGTCCACCTTTCTTTCTTAGAGATACAATGGAAACCGCTTAAAGTCATCATGCTTGTCCCGGGCCAAATTTACTGGATGCTTGATCTATCTTGATCATGTGTCACATTTAATTAGCGATTAAAAGCAGCTTCATTATGGCTACTTAATAAAAGACTTTAGTTAAGCTAAGTTTGTTAGCTAGTATTTATTGAATTCTTGTATGTACAGACTACATACAAGGAGTTGTCATGCTTGATGTTCCACTGAGGAAGGCCACTTTCTAACTGCATGTGTCTAGCACTGCCTTTGTCTTGTCATCACTCAATTTAAAGTGTTCCCACACAGCCGAGGTCTACTGCCTTTTGTCTTACCTTTCCGGGCCAAGCTAAACTGTGACATGGTCTTCACTGCTGTGAGTTATATCAGCTGCACAACCTGAGACCAAAAACATCTGGTCCATATTAAATAACAACCCAATTGAGGAACATCTGGATTGCTGTATATTCAGGTCCAGCTCTACACTTCAGATCAGATCTCCTCAATTTAACTATACTAACTAACTATCAAGTTACCCTTCAACCCCTGCTTCAGTCTTTGCCCTGTGTTGCTTAAGTTAACACCCATTAGACTTATTAACCCTCTCTGTATGTGACGGTGGGAAGTTCAATGATTACTTGTGTGTAGGCTGAGGGAGCTTTGAGATTACAGACGGGTATTGACAGTCAAAGATAAAGGCTCTTCCTCACAGTTGACCATGCAGACCTGCAGCTGCTGAGCGCACAGAGACAGACACAGACAAGCCACTGTAGGGCTGCTTCTCTCTGCTCTCTGTCCCTCTGCTTCCCCACGCCCTTCCTTCCTCCATGTCACCCTCAAGGCTTTTCACAAGGTTGTGGTCTAACGTGGTCTTGCTTTCACAGCAAGCATCTTGAACTGTCCTGCAGGGACATGAGCTTGCCAAGCAGTTGTGTGGAGTAGATTCAAAGGCCAATTAGCTCATTGTGTATTAGTCTATTATTCTTATGATTCTCTACTGTTTTAGATATTATCATTATTATTTATGATGTTCATGGTTATGTTACACAGCTGTACAGCTATTGCTGTATATAAAAGTGGACGACATGACATCTCCCAAAAAAAAACTTCTGGATTGCCTCCTGGAAACTGGCTGTTGTACAGGTCATAAGCCCTGCCTTCTCCATGTTAGCAGATGAGACATAGACACAATTTTTAAATTTTCTACACCAAAATTGCAACAATTTGAACCTTAAGAGATTAAGAGCCGAGCTGTCACATCACAAAGCAGGCAACCGGTGTGCTCAGATCAGCACACTGTGTGTGAATGTGTGTGCTGTTATAATCAACTGCTTATTGTGGTGAATTTAACTCGGGACAAACGGGATCACTAGAGATTTAGAGATTTCCTGCATTGTCTTCCAGCATCAATCATGCACACAATCATGCCACATGCAATCAGGAAATTCAACCTCTGCTTTTAACCCATCTGTAGATGTACCCAGAACACAAACACACAAGGGCAGTGATCACACGGAGCAGTGGGCAGCTACATATTGGAAAGCCTCATGGGAGCAGACGTTAGAGGGGAGTGCTTAGACAGTGGGATAGGGAGAGGAGTGTCCATCTGTCCCTTCTCTTGGACTGTGAGTGGGCTGCATCTTGTTTTAGATCAGATCTCTTTGCCTGCAGTCTTTCAGTGTAACTTAACTTCCCTGGAGTCCAGCTGCATATTCTATGTATCAGCTCTACAAATTTAGGGTGGTATCATATAACACACAACATTAATCAGTGTTGAAGTGGAAGAGAGCAAAAGCCATGTGTCATATTCAACTCAGAAGTCTTACGATGAAGTCACTATCTATCTTCTCTTTTTCTCAGGGGGAGTCCGTCAAGTATTTCCTGGACAATTTGGAAAAGCTCGCGCAGTCGGTAAGTTTGGCCCACACTGCAAAGGCTCCACGAATCACCAGCAGGCAGGATGATAGGAGGATGGGGCAGATGGGTGTGATGGCAGTTTGTTGAAACGTTTGTCGCTTGTGTGTTTAAAAAGAGAAGTGAAACTTCTGCCTTCCTGTCTCCAGTCATGTCTCCACACTCACTGTTCCTCCATGTATCTGCCTGTCAGCACACCCTCAAATACTCACACCTCAAAATGACTCTTACTCAGAACAGTAGTTACACATAGTAATTACAAAACAGTAATTACACACAATCGTGATCACTTCATCTAGCAGACTACTGGACTCAGACAGCTTTATCATCAGAGACAGGAAATTGTATGTTAAAGACTGCTACTAGCCTAGCTGAGCTGTTTGGTAACAGATGAAGATGTGGTCATAGGACCGTCTAAAATGGCAAACAGAAACCCAGCGAATGTTTCCCTGTCACTCTGTATGATTCCTCCACCCAGGTTCTTATTGCTCAGTCAGTGCCTTGTCTAACAAACCGGTAGGTAAGGGCAACAGCAGGAGAACTGTTAGTAATTTCTGGCCATAGCTAACATTTGCTAACATCCAGTGTTGCCAAATTGCTTGTGGTCAACAAACACTGACATTTTGTCCTGATTCTTGACATTTGACATCACCTTAGATAAATAATGAAAATATCATCTGAATTTTTATTGATAATATATATTATGTTAATATAAAATTTGCTGAAAGTACTTAAGTCATTTTTGAACACTTTCAGGACATTTTAAAGGTTCAGTGTGTAGAATTTAGTGATCTCTAGTGTTGAAGTGTCATGTTGCAGCTGAACACCCCTCACCTCACCCTCTCCTTCCAAACATGAAAAAGAAACTGTGGTAGCTTCAGTTGTCATAAAAACTCAAACGCTGTTTAGTTTAGTGTTTAGACTAATGTAAAAAAAAATGTAAATATAAAGTATTCAAATATAAAGGGTCTTTTCTGGGGTAAAGAAAACTACAATTCATACAATTTAGATGAAATGAACTAGTGAAAACATCATGAGGATTATTCTACATTACATTTCTGCCAATAGTTCCCTTTCACCTAAATCTTACACACTGGACCTTGAACAACACCAACATTACTACTGATAACTGATCATTTTGATCACTGTTATCGTGATACAAAATGTTCACACCGTTTCATTTCTAATATAATATTCCTATTATTCATATGATTATATTATGTAAATTAATCCAATCAAAACAATCCAGACATCTCTGGATGAAAAAGAGGTGTCTGACACTGACAAATTCGGAAAGTTGACACGATTCAAGAGTTTTTGTTGATAAGGGGAGACTCTCCTGATGCTTTGTTCACATGTGAAAGAAAGTCAGGACATTATTGTGTAGACATCCTCTGGAGAACATGTCTAAAAAGGCTAAAATGAAAAAAATTAGACACGGCTGTTGATGAATGTGACTCAGACATCACTTAAGTTTGTCAGTGCAGGATTTCTACCTCATAGTCTTTCTGTAGTTGTTGTTCTTTTCCTCTGCACGCACAAACAAGTGCACTGGAAGTCCTGTGTGCAAGGGGTGTTTGGGAAAAAAAATGTGGATCTTATTTCCATTGTGTGTGTGTCGCCCTGGCCTGTCAACGATGACTCATCACCTCTGGAATGTTAGGAATGTGGATCTGTCTTGGAGCATATTGACACAAACACACACTCAAAACGTGACTGGGAATAATATTACATCATATTTGGTTTCATGTAGTCAAAGAGTCACTTGTTTTATTTGTCTTGGCTCTGTTAAAGCCTTGTCATTAATGGGGAGGAGAACCATCCAGTCCTGCTCAAATCACACACACACACACACACACACACTGACTCTCTCTAGCATCCCCTCACATTTGTTTACATGTGCTTCTATTCAAGGAATGCACTGTGTTAAACAGGGATTCGCCAAATCGTGCACTGGTTTGAAAAGGTGTGCACTGCAACAACAGCATTTCTTTTTCAAACTCTTAATTTACACCGATTGTGTGTAAGTGGTTAGAGATTGTTTGTCTTGTAAATAAAGAACCATGACAAATATGTAATATTTTAACCTTCACATGTACCAACGCAGCGTGAATATGCACTTGTTGATATAGATGGAGATGGGACCTGTAAAACCTGCAGAAACCTGCCTAATTATGTGTAACAATGTGTTGGCAGGACTACCTCCCCAACCAGCAGGACATCCTCCTGGCCAGAAAACCCACTAAGGGCATCCACGAGTACGACTTTGAGATCAAGAACGTGCCCTTCAAGATGGTGGACGTAGGTGGTCAACGCTCTGAAAGGCGGCGCTGGTTTGAATGCTTCGACTCGGTCACTTCCATCCTCTTTCTTGTCTCCTCCTCAGAATATGATCAGGTGAGTCTGCCGGAAGCCCCGCAGGATGCTGAGAGCACAAGCACCTATGAATAAAATCACTGAATGTTGTTTTATTGACAGTGACTGTAGTTTTACATGACTCAAGGTTAAACAAGATAAATTGTCTGTATATATATAGCACTAGTTTCTTTTTAGTCTTGTTGACCACTCAAAGCACTTTAAAGTACTTTTTTGGGGGCAATTTGGGGTTCAAGGACACTTCGGCACTCAGGAGTTGATCAAGTCTTCTTGTATTGATAACCTCGGTGATCCTCAACCTACCCACATGAAGGTTTCCCAGATGATTAAAAATGTCATGGCAGTGGGCTATGAATATTTCAATATTCATTGTTTAGAACACAGTGAGGTTTTGCATTCCATCGACTAAACCAAACACTGACTAAAACACAAAAACACCCTTTGACCACATTGTCCAAGGGCTTAGACTTAATATGTTTAATTAATGAATTGGAGAAACTAGTTGTGCCCCTTTTCTTCTCCAGAATGTCAACAACCCAAAAGCTGAACTTGTAAAAATGTGTAATGCTTTGTTACAAGGTTCCTCCCTGTGTTTCCACTTTATTTCACAAACTCTGATGTTCTGTTGATTAGCATAGTCAGTTAGTAGGTGCATGAACTGATCACTTCAACAAGTGGTGCTGTTATTGTTATTGTTATTGCCCTTGTGTGGCCTGAAACAATGTTTTTCATTTTAATTACCCTGTATTAGCTTTTTTAACTTATTTGTGCACTTCTGCAAAATACTGAGAAATCCAGGGCAATACCTTTGTTGACTAACACCTCCAGACTCCAGTTCTGTGTTGTCTCCACAAGAACTAATCAGACACAACATGTCTTTTTACATCAAGTCTTTGCAACTGTTTCTCTTTTTTAAGTATTGGTTGCCGAGCTGGATGTAGATTCAGTAGTAAGATGGTGGATGCTGGTGTGTTTGTGTATTTGTCTTTGATATGATGTGCTGTTACATCAGCTCAACCAATCATTATTGGATGTTGTTGAAATTTAACACCATGAACACAGAGACAGAGAACAGTGGAAAGCAAAGCAGAACCTGTAACAAAGGCCACACGCTACATCACATTCCTCAACTCCCTGCAGTGCAAATGGGCTGTAAACTTCCTTGTGTGTTGCTGTTTGTGTTTCCATTGCATTTGAAAAAACAAAAATAGGGTAATAAGTCAAATTATTTAAAAAAAATCTACGTTGTGTGATAAACTTTTTTGGGGAAAGGAATGACACACGAACAACTTACATTCTGACCTTGTACCTTTTTGGTGGGAAATGCAGGTAAAGTTTCTGTACGACTTTGCCATCGTTTATTTTTGCCAAATCCTTACTGTCTCCTTTGTGCCGACAAACAAATCTGTTGCTCATATTAGTCACATTTTGTCTCAATCACCTTTGACCCCAGCATACATGACATGTCTGCATTCTGACACCTCCAGGTGCTGATGGAAGACCGACAAACCAACCGGCTGAGCGAGTCCCTCAACATTTTTGAGACCATCGTCAACAACCGAGTTTTCAGCAACGTCTCCATCATTCTGTTCCTGAACAAGACAGACCTGCTGGAGGAGAAGGTGAAGCAGGTGTCCATCAAAGACTACTTCCCTGAGTTCTCGGGTGACCCCACAAGCCTGGCAGACGTCCAGCGCTTCCTGGTGGAATGCTTTCGCAAAAAACGCCGCGAGCAGCAGCAGAAGCCGCTCTACCACCACTTCACCACGGCCATCAACACTGAGAATATCCGTCTGGTGTTCCGTGACGTCAAGGACACCATCCTTCACGATAACCTCAAGCAGCTAATGCTGCAGTGAAGGGACTGACCAGGAGGAGGGAGGGAGGGGTGAAGGCAAATGAAAAGTGGATGTCAAGGTGCCTTTTTCCTTACCCGCCCCCCACCGCCGGCCTGTTAACGGACCAGGCAGTGTCACTTTTGAACTTTGACTGTGTATTAAAGCCACCACTACTACCGCCATTCCCCCCATCCACCCCCCCACGCTTGCTCTCTGCCTTACTGAGCTTGTTCACTGTGACTTATAACGGCTGCTTTTGACTCAGAGCTCCGATCACCCTCTGACCCTTAAAACCACTGTAAATGACCTCTGCCCCCTGGTTCCACACTCTACAGTGGACCTTGCCGACCTTCTATGGTATATCCTCCCTGTATGTTTTGCTCTGATTCACATCCTTACACTGTCCCTTTAATTCCATGCTGCTCTGACCACTGTTGATGGGGATTGGGAGGGGCTTGTTTGAAACTGGCGTCGCTGAGTAGCGGTTAAAGCCACCTGCAGGCGCCGGCGATGTCAGCAGCTCTGTTGCCAGATGTCGCCTTCCTTTTGCAGAACAGACCTTTTGTTTTTTTTGTTGGGTTTACATCTGCTTTCCGCCGGAGCTTAATCATGACATCACCAGGCTGGGGTGGGGTTTTCTTCTGAGAGCAGTGAAACAGGAAAGAACAGAACACACACGCACACACGCACACACACACACACACACACACACACACACACACACACACACACACACACAGATAGGAAGTCCACTAGTTTTCTAATCATTTAGTTTCTTTTTCTAGTCTATGAATATACTGTATGTACCTATGCATTTTCCTTTAACTTATATTTTATGAGGGTTTACACATGTGGATGGGTGACTGCTGATGGACTCTGTTACCATTAGTTTTGGGGATGAGAGAGCACAAACAAACACAATAAACCACCGTGCCATCAGGCTAGATAGTGCAGGGTTCATCATGACGCATCATATTTAAGTTATTCTCAGGGCACATCGTAAACCACTTCTCTGTGATTTGAAGCCAGAGCCCTGCCTATGCCCCTCCACAAGTCAATTATTACAGGGTCTTTTCACTGTGTGTCAGCAGAAAAGACTGGTCTGAAAAACTGTGGCCATTTTCAACCTGGAACCCATTTTACCATCAGGCTCTGGACTATAAGAAGCTGGTGACCCACTTTCCTTCCTGGTATTAACTTGTGATCTGTACGTGGCCGACCACAGATGTTTACATTTACATCTGACATGAAGTCATGTTGTTACCCACATTCCTTTGATTTCTCTTTGATAAGAAATCAGAGTTTTCAACCAAGATGTCAACATTTTATGGTTTCAAATGTGGGGACTTGTGTGTCTTAATCTAATTTAGTGAACTGAATATTCTTTGTATGAAGAAAACAAGACATGAGATGACATCAGCTTTCATGAATCGATAACGATGTTAATCATTATTTTCCAGTGGCTAATTAAAGCCTCACCCAGCATAACCTGGGTAGACTAGCAGCATTAATAAATCTATTCATCATACACATAACATAAACAGGTCTCATGCTAATACCAAGAATACACTGCGTCTGTTGTGCTTTCATTGGAAAATCCTTTTTTTCCTTTTTGGGGCAAACAATGCACAAGTTTAAGCCTGAAATGACATCAGTCATAATGTAGTTTAAATGTTGGTGCTGTTGAGATGCTTTGGCCATTTAGTTAATGGCTGGTGATGGAGGAGGTGATTAAGGTTGAAAATGGCCATATTTATTCTCTAGCCCTGTGGAATCTCACATCCAAGCCTGCATGTCTTATCTTTCCATTTGATCTTACCACCTTAGGTGTATAATTCAAGGAGTGAGGAGGTGGCTCAACCTCTGGTTTGCTGTCTGAGAAGGTACCTGTTGATCCTGTCCGTCTTTGCCCTCCACACACCCTGACCTAAAAAGCAAAGGGATAAGACCAGCCTGTATGTTCCTGGACGCTTTCACTGCAGTATACAGGTTATGTGTAGTTCACATTGTCCTCTTAGCTAATTTTCTAATGTCTAATTCGCTGTAATGAATCTCACACCAACCTCACTCTCATCTTGAAGAGTTGATGTAACGCCTCCACATAGATGTCTAAGTACGAGTGGGGTTCTTTTGGATGGTGTTAATTTAAAACTAAAACAGACATCTGGTGGCTCGTGTTGATGCCCCATTAATCTGCCTCCTCCAGTTGTGTCCAGAGCATGAACACCTCCAGGTAGCTGGTTCCACTGGTTCATGCTAACACTTCAGCAGATGTTAATGGGTGCTAATAAGGTAATACCACAAGCCCCTAATGTCATGAAGATGGCCTGTGGTTGAGCTGTTGTGTCTCCCCCATCAACAGAAATGCTCATATTGTTTAAGCTCACAGTCTAGTGTCTGTGTGGGAACACAGACGTTCCAATATAAACCAGCCCAGCTACGTCGCAATTTTTGAACTCTTTCTAGTTGTAGTTGGAAATGGCAGCTAATCACTGAAAAGACTGAATGATGCCCTGTTTCTCCTGTAACATGCCCCTGTGATCCCACAGACACGGACACTCCCGCCTCCTCTGACAGGTGGTTACACATGATGTCTTACCCCGTGTCTACACTGGATGTGTCTCGGCCCCCTTTAGTCTTCTGTCTCAGTTTGATTTTGCACAGGGTCGTAACAGCTCGAGTTTGACTCGTTTAACTTGTGGAACATAGTGAGCCTTTAAGAGGACGTGAGGCAAAGCCAGTTTGTTGAGCTGCACCAACACGACTAAAGGTTTTATTCGTGTCTTTTTAGAGGCTGAGTAATAACCCAACTACTGTCAATTACATGCCCTTGATGGTTTTTTTAAATTCCAACCCTAATCAAGAGTTTAACTCTGATATACAAGTTTAACATGACCATCAGAGAGTGTACATAATGCTTGGCTCTGTAATTAAGTTACTGTAACTCAAGGAAAGTGGATTTAGTCTTTTAAAGACCCAAGCAACCAGTGTAGCTGCACATTTTACCTTTTGTTTTTTTAATTCACTTTACATATTGTTATCCAGAGATCCACTGTCGTTAACCCATGTCTGAGCATGTATCAGCCAAACAGTAATGCAGACATCATGGTCACTGTGATGTACTAACATGAAGCCAAAATCTCTCGGATATAGTTGCTACAATTTTGAGCTGGTGATGTCATGCGGAGTCTATGCAGTAGTAGCGACTGCAGAGTGGGGCCACGTCATCGAGGTCTCACCCATACATTTGCCCGACCAATCACAAGTCAGTCATGACGTCTCATTTGGTTTTTATTCCTCTGCGCCTGGAACAGGCAGTGGGAGCGTCATGTTTTTTAGGTTGTACATCTGTCAAGAAAGCCTTGTTTTCAAATTTGCTAACCTGGACTCAAGGATGACATGATTAGATTGTGGTGGTCAAAGGTCACAGTGACATTTAAACGATTCTGGGGGGAAAAATGGTGTAGATGGAAACTGCAATGGGTGGTGGAGGCATACAACCACAGTGCGGTATTTCTAGTTTTTATAGCATCAAATAATAAATTAAAACCAAACTTCTCAGTAACACGAATCAACAGTATGATAAGAACTACCTAAAATAACAGACACATCTTTTATTGTGCATGTGCTTTGACTTAGTTTGATCCACGTCCTATACTGCAGCCAGCCACTAGGGGGATGTTCCAGATATTTGTGCTGCTCTTAAGGTAGCTGTCATGTCTTCCATCAATAGTCATTGGAATACACAGTTGAAATGTGTTTTGGGATTTTGATACTGTGTCAAAATGAATGGAAGCCAATAGGAATTGTAGTCTGATTTGTAATTTAGTCTCAGACTACGAATGGCATCAACAGGCATCAAGGAGCATGTGTCAATCTACAAAATCTAACATCAGCAGTTGCTGCTTCAGCAGCTCACGTCACAGATGATTAGTCTTCTCTTCTCTGGGTCCCACACTTCAGCTTTATTTCTGTTTAAAGCACAGTCATGGTTTGTGTCTCTTTTATCCTCACACTCCCACAATTTAGCTTTGAGTCAACAATTACAATATAACAACTGCCTCAATCAGTGACATGGAGACTGAGAAGGACTAATGGGAGACAGATCTGATCCTCTGTGTCCCAGGTAGCTGTATGAGCGTCCCTAGGACCAACAAGGTGCCTGCAAGTCACGTGGCTGATTTCTGGCTTGTGTGCGTGTTTCCAAATTTAACAGAGGAAGATAACCGACAACCAAAAGTTCAGTGACTTCCCCAAGCCTTGCAGTGCCAGTCAGCATGAGTCTCCCTCCGTCAGCCTGTCTGTGTCGGGCTGAAGCAGCGTCTGTGTGTGTGTCACAAACACACTGTCTCCTGTCTGCTGCTACTCAGACAGCCTGAAGCTTAAACCCAGCAGAGGCGTCTTTGTCTGGATTCAGAGACCGCTGTGTCATGTCATCACTTAAGGACAGAAGGAAGCCTGTAGGGACACACACACACACACTCAGGCACGTCTCTATAGTTGTGAGGACACTCATTGACATAGCCCCTAGCCCCTAACCTTAACCATCACAACTAAATGCCTAACCTTAAACCTAATTCTAACCCTAAAACCAAGTGTTAACCCTCAAACAGCCCATTGAATTTGTGAGGACCAGCCTCACAATGATGGCATTGAACCAAAATTGGCCGTCATAACTATAGATAGACACACACACACACACAGTCTCAGATGAAGTCACAGCCTGTACCCTGATACAGCCTCTGTGCTCAACTTGGTTTAGATACACAGACGGTGAACTGTCACGCAGGAGCAGACCAGTGGACGGTGGTGTTACACTGTCTCTGCTCCTCTGTGACGTCACCTTTTTCAGTAATATGACGTCATGACTCCACAGCCAGACAGTTGACTAGTGGCCTGCAGCAAAGAGGAGCCACATCCTTTCATAGCACTTAGGTTTTTCAATTGCCTCCCACTATCTGATGGGTTGAGAAAAGGATCTGAATTTTACAGAGGAGAAAAGAAAAAACTGTTATGAGATGAGAAGAATTTGATGAATGCACATTGTTGAGAGTGATCCTTTCCAGTGCCTCAGTGTCTGATAGGCCAGTTTGGACGGAGACTGACACGAGCTCAGTGTTTCTGACTTTAAATTCAGAATCTCAGGACTGTTTCTCTTTTTTCTCTTGCAAACAGATCAATGGTGGCTGTGCCGTAGACGACTGTCTGCTGCTGTGTTATAGCTCACTGTGTGTTGTGTTGTGAATGTCCACTCTGGAATCTTGAACCTCCAAGATCTCTGTGCCTTTTGCGTGTCTTTGTCATCTCGATACCGTGAACCAGATACATCTGAGTCACCTTGAATCATAGAAGCAGTCATGTGAGGGAAGAATGGATTTAAATATCTTCAGAGAAACGTGCAGCCGCTGCCTCCATCTGCTCGTCCCTCAGTGGACCAGCCACTGTAAAGTCAGTTTTATGATCTGACAGCCTTTTTCACAGACGGGCTCTGACACACTGAAGCCTAAACCAAACTGAAACCTCAGCTCAACATGACAGTTCAGTTTGTCCCAAACTTGTTCAGACCTGGTATTAACTTGTGATCAGATCCCCGGGGAACAGATGTCTGGGGGCCTGAGATTTGTCACCAGGTCCTGAAGTGGAGCGGCTTTGGGTTTGCTGGCTTTCAGTGCTGTGCCGTCACACCCGGGGATCTGGTGGACATTGTTATTTCTGATCCGGGATCATTAAAGATCTGCCTTTAACCAGGAGGCCTTGTTTGAGTTCTGCTCCCAAAGCTCCATGCTGAGCAGTGTCTCACTTCTCTAACACTCTGACTTTGCCTTTTAACCTTTTATACTGGTTTTCTATGCTGCAGCCTGTGTCTGACATCAGCGCTTGACCTGGAACACGATCAATCAAATTTTTCCACTGAGCGAGGTTGCAAATAACCTTGTCACCGACATTGTCCAAACTATGCAACAGCACTGGTCCACAGCCGTGAGTTGATATTCTGATGTGTTCAAAATAATCATGATCTCACTCACTGATGATTTTAGAGAAATATGATCTGCCAAATATACTGATGTTTTGTGCCTCCTCTTCCAACTCTGCCTCTACTGTCCAATCATGTTGACAATGGTTTTATATAGTGTTTTTTATTATGCCATACAAGCAGTCTGATGTCCACATACTAAATAACTCACAGGAACCATTTCCTTCCCAGTTTTGGCATTTTCTGATATGTACAGTCTAACTTATACTGTCTTACCCTTCTACTCTCCTAAATAAATCCAGCTGTTTTTTTAAACACTGTCTGCTGTTCCTCTGTTCCCTGTGGTATCATCGTCATCATGTGTTCTTTTTCATGTTACACATGCAGCCGTTAGTCAGTCAAACATAAAATACAATGAATGATTTCTATGTTGTTCTTATCCTTAATGTGTATAGTGACAAATCACAACCAAGGTTATTATAGTTTTGAAATTTTCAATAGTTTTTATTTTTATTTAGTTTTTCAGTTTGCTTTTTTATTTCAGTTTAGTTTTTGTTAGTTCAACAAGTGGTTTTGTAGTTTTAGTTTAGTTTTTATTTTGAGGAATCGACTAGTTTCAGTTTAGTTTTTACTTAGTCTTAGTTTTAGTTTTAGTTTTTCCAGGTATTAAGAGAAAGCCTTGACTTGTAGAAGCTGAAACAATGTGTGACACCAAATATGGTTTATCAAGTCCTTTAATTTCATTCTTTAACCATCACCTGCAGGACAGGCAGTGATCCAGGGGGAAAACGAAACGACAACGAAGATGAATTTATCTGCAATTCAGTTTAGTTTTAGTTAGTTTTGCATTGTTCATTGTAGTTTTTATTTAGTTTTCGTTTTTTCGTTTTCGTTATTTTTATTTCAGTTAACTAAATTATTTTTTCATTGCTAGTTTTAGTTTTCGTTAACTAATAACCCTGGTCACAACACACATTTTGTCAAGGCACTGAATTATATGTGGTACATTTTAAAGAAACTGTACAGTCCTATAGTGAGGAGAGGGAGAGGAGAAAAAAAACTTCCTTTTAACAGGAGGAAATCTCCAATGAAACCGGGGGGGGGGGATATCAGGTGGAGAATTAGACAGTGGCTGCTGTGGTAGCTCAGTGCACATGACTGTGCATGGAAACAAAGCTGCAGTAGGAAATGAGAGTATGTAACTCTGACAGTAGACTGCACACACTCACTATCACATCACAGTGTTGAATTCATACCAGTGCACCTGGAACAGGAAGACTTCCAGGTCAGATGGTGGCATGATGCTGTCTGGGCAGGAATACTGCACTGAAGCCTATGTGAGGTTTTTGTAGGTAGTACAACTGCACAGTGGATGACACATTGATTATGTTACGAAGGAGGGGGGTCACGAGAAGTGGAAAAACAATCAGAAATAGTGTAATATAGCCAGAAGGTTGTTCCATTTAAAATAAGACTTTAGAAATGTGCCTCATAGGGCTTAACAATCCGTACAATGTGTTTTATGTCTCCATAACCCTCGACTAGAGTGACGAACAAAGTCAATAAAAAAAAAATGTCATCAGCTTTCCGTCTTCTTTGTCCTCGCATGAGCCCTGATGTGATTGTGGCACATTAGCGCCAGCATCAGCTGCAGCAGGTTAGTTGACAGCGCCACAGAAAACAGTGTGACGTGTGACTCAAAGGTTTCTGCCACAGCACAGTGCTCCTGCTCAATGTGTCAGGACATTCACTTCAGTTTTATTTTATTAGAAACCATTTCTGCCAATGAACAGATGTGACAAATCAAACAGTGAACTATGTACCTGCCTCTGCCTTTAACAGACTGTAAGAGCTGAGAAAGGAGGATTACTGCTGTTGAGTATAAATAATTAGCTGACCTGGACCTCTGCACACTGTCTGTATTTTTACTTCATACTGACATTTATACACATAATCACCTGCAGCGTTTATAGACTTTGACATTGTGTGTATTCATCAATTTTTTAATTCAAAGTAATTATTTTCAGGTTTATAGTTTTATGTACTGAACATTCACACACGACGACTGGATCATGTGAGAGACTGCTGTTCAGCCAATAGAGGATGCTAGTGGACTGCTTGTAATAGCACAGAGTGAATGTCATGTAACGCAGCTCTGTACGGTCTGTCAGTGGAATTCAGCCTGAAAAATACTGCATGTGGAATATTCTAAAGCAAAACGATGAATGGTCTGTTTTCTGTGTGTCACATAAACCTGATTCAGGCTTCAGTAAGTCTGGTCATCAGTTCAGAACCAAGACTTTTTGTAATTTATCCATGAGGTAAGTTTCACACTGGAATAACTGCTGCTGTCTTTGTGACACCATTACAACAATGATCTCATAATTATAATCACGTTAGTCTCTTCAGTTAATTCTTTATAGATGCTAAAACTAAATCTAAATAAAGTTAAACAGAGGAACAACACAGGTCAAGTTTTTCAACACCATACCTTCAGTTTGTACTGTTCTTCCTTCAAATATGAAGTCTCAAGGTAAGAAATACATTCATAGTTGACATACAGTGTGTCATAAAGGGTGGGTTTGGGTAACGTGGGAAACGTAAGCTTCAGTTTGTTTATTAAATTAAGATAACATGGATATCCTGAGGGTGATGTTAAAGAAAGGGGCAGGGTAAATGTCAATCAGAAGCCCTCCCACATTGAAATGAATGTTATGGATTCTCTATTTAGGCTATGGGTTCTTTATGAAACATTTAGTTGTCAATATAAATCAATGACATGTCTATGAATAATTTTAAATTTCTTATTCAGCTTCATTTTTTCATAATGGTTTTTAAAAAGTATCCCAGATTTCAAAGTGACCTGTCCCAGATTATCAAATTCAGAATTGATTTTGTTTTTTTGGCACAAACAACACTAAAGCTGTGTCATGTCTCCTCTGAGCATGATATCTCCATTCTTTATTTTGGTGTGGATAGAAAACCTCTTAAGGATTACAGAAATGTATAATATGTTGATCTAATAGAACAGAATAAATTTTACTGTCAAAATTGCCAAAAGATTTCCCATATTACCAGAATTTCCTATATATAAATATAAATATCTGTATAGATATATGCAGTCACTGTATGTAGTCACTCTCCTAAATAGACATTTAAATGGACAATTTCGGATCTGTCACTCACATGAAATGAAAGCAAGTGACAGATTCCAAACAACAACAATGTGTCACAGCCATGACGAGTGAGCGATTCTATGAGATTAGATCCGTTCCAGTAACAGACGTGAGCAGCATTCACCAAAGTATCCTTATGTTGACATGTTCAGGAAAAAGGAATCAGAGTTTGGAGAAGAATTTATTTTAAAAATCCATCATGAATGCAGTACAGCATTTTAACCGGCAGGAACCTGCCCAGCACTTGTTTATCTAAAAGCAAATGAAAAAAGTCACATTCATAAAAACAGAACATCAAATCATAATTATAAAGAGTTTAAATAAAGGTGACACTGTGATTAGGGAAAGGTTTGTGAGCTCATCTTCAAGTGTTGAGGTGGATGTGGAGGGACTCGCTCCTGTCAAATCTCTCCATCACACCTTTGCATTCAAAAACTGAAAAATAACCAACTCTACATCTACACTTTGACATGTGCATATATTGTGAAATATATGAAATGGCATTGGGAAAAATATCACTGTAAACCCCCAAAGTTCTACTCGCGTATCGTCACTGCTTTTTAATCTGTGTGCCGTTACACTACAGCAGTTATTCTACAGTACATCAACAAGATGGTGGTAACAGTGTAAATATACAGGCAATGCATTTACCCAGAGCAGCACAGAATGATCGAGCTGAATAAAAAGTCCAACGTCATAGAATCACAGAACGAAGAGAGCAAACTGGAGCTCCTGAATTCATCCTCAACCATCAGTCCACGCTGCTGCAGCTACTGCTATTGTCGCCAAAATGTGAAATATCAACACATGGACATAAGACAGACAGAGGAGACAGACTGTATGTACAGGTTGCATGACGCAAGACTTGTGTGTTTCACTCTCCGCCTTTTGCTGAAGGAGTGACTGTCGTGTGGAGAAACACAGTGTGTGTGTTCAGCAGGAATCAAGTCAAGATGCAGAACTGAAATATGAGGAATCAACGTAGAACAGTGTGGATGCAGTGAAGACGAGGCCGATCGCAGATTGGTTAGCTTCTTCTGTCTATTGTTGTTGTTTTTGTGGACCTGTGCAGTGAGGGGAGGACGTGACCTGGAGACACATTCATACCACGTGTAAATGTCACCAGGTTGAACTCATATCTAGATACAATCGAGATAAGAAACACATATTATTACCAGGTGTAAATGAGGTATCCGTCATGCTCATGATGCCTCAGTTACCATGACAACAATACTTCTGTCCTGAGATGAGCCCAAACTAATAATACAAAGAGGAATGTAGAAAAAGCTTTTCATAATCAAGGTTTTGCTGGAACAGAAACGTATGTGTGGTTGTTAGAAAGCTGAGGTGTGACACCCTGCGCTCCACACGGCTGTCTTTGGTCTCAGGGGGAGAGACTGCCCCCTCTCTGTGAAGGAGCGAACTTCAAGCTTGTCAGACAGTGAAAACATGTACACCTGAGATTTGGAACCAAGAGCAGCTGGGAAGTCTGTAGTGTTACCAACACTGCAGCCTCTCCAAGTGTATCTGTATTAGCCTGTTGACATTCTTGTCCTTACTTATGAGGTGATGTCATGCTGTTTGGTTCATATTACTGAGGCTTTGTCCTGATCCACAGCCGTTCTCACAGGACTGTCCTCAGGGGCCAGGTCAATGTCCAAAAAGTCAGCCTGGTTGTTGTCCAGTGACAATTTCTCCTCCTCCTCCTCTGTGCTCTTGCTTTTGTTTCTGCCCTGTGATTGGCACATGCCGGATTTGGCCGGGCCAACCAGAGCCAAGCAGATGGCACTGAGCCCCATGCCCACCGCACAGGAGTAGAAGGCAGCGCCGTAGTTCTGTGTGACATCCACCAACAGACCTGGAGAACAGATGAGACAGCAGTCAGAATCTACAGTCTCACAGATGAGTGAAAACACACAGACGTCAACTAAAAAGTCGTTTTTACCTCCTAGCGGCGGTCCGGCCAGCCCAGCGAAGCTCTGGATGAAAACATACACTCCTACAGATGACGGCATCTTCTTGATGCCCACCACTTCCTCCTCCGCCAGCATGGGGATGTGCATGGAGCCCACGGTGCCCATGAAGTAGCCATAGAGGGCGCAGCAGACCACCAAGCCCCAGAACTCCCACACAATAGTGAAGGCCACCAGAACCAGGCACAACAGAACCACACACCCCAATAACACCAGGGTCTTCCTGCAGCTGACTTTGTTCAACACCACCCCAATGGACAAGCGGCCGAATATCTCGGCCACTGCCATCACAGAGAGCATGTAGGAGGCCATGCTGGGCTCCACGCCGCGGCTCTTGCTCAGTTCAATGATGTAGAGCTGTGGGGCGAAGAAGCCCAGAGTGGCAAACAGGCCAAAGAGGGAGTACCAGATAAATGCACCATCTTTGAGCACAGAGAAGTCCAGGAGTTTGGGGCTGGAGGGCTTGAGAGGACCCGCCTCTCCCTCTGCCCACTCCACCTCGTCCTTCTCCTTGACTGGTGTGGGAGGTGACGGCTCCTGACCCTCTTTGCCCTGCACCTCCATCTCCTCCAAGGCCTTTTTTTCTGCTCCTGCTGTCCTCAGGTCTGTGTTTGAGGCAGAGAGAGAGGTGATGCCTGAGTCCTCCGAAACTCCGGAACTGATGGAGGTCCTAGTTTGTTCGTTCTCCAGCTCGTAAACCTGCAGCTGCTTCAGAGAGATCAAGTCTTTGTCTGATTCACTGTCCTCCTTTACAGGTTTCGGCTCAATTATGATTGGACGAAGGAGAAGTCCACAGCCAATCACAGAAGCCTGCACGATGCCGAGGACAATCAAACAGTAGCGCCAGCCAATGTGTTGTTTCAGTGTAGTGAAGGCTGTGGAGAGATGGGGAAGACAGTACAGGTAACTTTTATTGTTGTTCTCTTATTTATTCTCACTCAAGGTCCAGAATGGCTTTTATTGTGATAGACGAAGTGAAAGAAAAAGCTTTGTCTCAGTGGTCACATGACTGACCAATACACAGACTTGGTGACTTGTCAGTGGATCAGGTGTGAATACGTCATTGAGAATAAAACAGGAACAGCCAAAGTGGGCAGCTACATCCAAATGAAAACAATTCAGTTTGGCTTTTTTTACTCGAAAACTTGTTTTAATGGAGAAGTTTGGTTTTTGTTCAACCTGGACCTTATTTCCAGCATGGAAGAGTTTCGCGGCAGATAATGCGTTATTTAGAGGCTGTATTGTGGATGCCCCAATCACTTGTGTTGTATGGATATACGCCGATCGCGTGTGGATGGAAAAGCGTCCGAAGGACTCCAAGTTACTCCAAACCTTTATGGGTGAGTAGATCTGCATACCACATGCTGGAAATAAGGACCAGGTTGAAAAAAACCAAACTTCTCCTTTAAAGGTCCAGTGTGTAAGATTTAGGTGAATGGGATCTATTGGCAGAAATTGAATATAAAATACTCCTAATGATGTTTTCACTAGTTCGTTTCATCTAAATTGTAAGAATTGATGTTTTCTTTACCCTAGAATGGGCCCTTTATATTGAAATCCTTTATTTTTACACAGGGAGGAGGTCCTCTCTACGGAGGCCACCATGTTTTTTACATTAGTCCAAGCTGGACAAACTAAACATCTTTTGAGTTTTTATGACAACTTTTCATATTTAGAAAGGGATGTTGAGGTGAGGGGTGTTCAGCTGCACCATGAAACTTCACCACTAGATTTCACTAAATTCTACACACTGAACCTTTAAACTGCTCTCAGACATGCACTGAACTCCAGAAAACCTCTACAGTTTCTACGGAGGAGGTGTATATGTAAACACCAATGTCCGTGTGAGAGCCGCTGGAGTTTCTGCAAACTTTCCCTGCCTGACCCCCCCCTTGTATTAAGTCCACCTAAACCCTGTAGGAGCCTGCTGCACCACCCTTCACCACCAGCGGAGGATTTGTTGCTGTTGGGAACACGTCTGAGCAGAGAATCTCCTGCTGCGTTTTGCATGTATGAAAGGAAAACTGTGGAGAAAGTCCTGACCCACTTCTCCAGAGGTCAGGAGTCATGTGTGAAAATGTCTTTAGTGTGAATGATGACACAGACGCCCACATTCACTTCCTGACTGGGTCAGGTTTATCTGTGTTTATCTGAAACCTAACTCCTCAGCAAGAAAACAACTTGACAATGATGTGCTGATGTCACATTATCATGTGACCAAATAAGCACAGAGTCCTCTCTGTGGTAAGTGAGCAGACTCCATTCACTGAATCAGACGATGAGATGTTGTTGAAAGCCACAGAAAAAGCGAGGTCAATATTGTAATTATTGAACACATGATTCTCTTCATAACAGATAGCTTGATGAGTCATGATAAAAGCCCCTGTTTGAATGAACACTCACCTGGAGCAAATGCAAATATGGCGAGGGATTCTCCTGAGGAAGCAGCGGAGGTGACGAGGGCTCGCCGTCTGGAGAAGTACTGGGCTAGGATGGTGACGGTTGGGAGGAAGGTGAGGCAGTATCCGAGGCCTGTGTACAAATGGGAGAAAAGAAAAAGGGGACATGACAGCCACTGGCCGCACGGTAGGAACACTGCATGGATAGGGGGGGTGGGTCAAAGATCAAGGTGTCAGGTCACTCCTTTTTCAAAGGTGGCCGGCTGCTTGAGATGACTGAGCTTTACCACAGCTGCTTCTGAAACAAAAATGGTATGTAAAGACAAAAAAAGAGAGAGACAGGGGGAGAGTTTAGAAGTGGTCGTCATGTTAGCTGTGGTCCTTTTTCAGAAGCAGACATGGTATTCACGGTGGGAGGGCTAGCAGTGCTTTCTGTCCAAGGAAAAAACAAGTTAATGTGCTCTGATGCAAAACTCATTCCACCAATTTGCTCATTATCCAATCAATTACTTTCATTCAGTCAATTTATTCCTTCCTCTTGAGACACTTCCTGTTCCATCAGTCCTGATCTGAAAGGGAATTTAGAGGGATTTTTTTTTGGAGGGAGACTGCTGCTCCAGTTATTCCGCTCAGTCCTTCCTAGAGAGTTATGAGAACGGAGTCGACATTACTGTCTGCTGTTTACAGGAGGCTGTCGACCTCTCTCTCATTGGACAGTTCTGCAAGAAACAAACTGGGGCAGACTTTGTTGTGGACACTGCTAGGAGTCCCTTTAGTTCATGACAGGCTGATAAACAAGACAAACACATCTGCAGGAGTAAAACAGTCAATCCGTCACTGACATGTTGCAATGACACACAAAGGCTACGTCCACTCTGATAAGTTTTCATTTTACACCCCAAAAAATCGAAGCTATCTCCGTCATACTAACATACCTGAAAACACATGTCACATCAAACATGTACACTGGTCATGCGATGCAAACGACGAGCAGATTGGTTGCTTAGTTGCAGAAAATACCACGAAGAAAAAAGTAAGAGCAGGGATTTCTTTTCTTGAAGCGTCAAAGAGGTGGAACTGTTACTGACAGTAAGCGTTAGCCAGTCGAGTTGTGTGACTTTAGAGTTTAATAATAAGACTGAGATAATATCAGGACAAGAACATGGGAGACTGTGTCACCTTTTCCAAAAGTCTGAGACTTGAAAGTAGATCGTATGGATGTGTTTTACAACTAAAACTTAAATATGTGGACGTAGCTAAATACCAACAGACAGACAGACAGATGGAGTGACTGATATAAGTACCTGAGACAATGCCAATAGTGATGTACATCTCGTTGATGGAATTGGTGAAGGCGGAGGTGATGGTTCCCAGGCTGATGAGGAAGCCTCCGATCATCACCACTGGACGATAGCCGAAGCGGTTGCTCAGCAGCGTGGACAGGGGGGCTGAGGATTTGAGGGGGGACAGTCATTTCAGTAAAATCATTTCAACTCGTTCAAGTTTGAGCTGCATGACCGTTGTTTAATCTCTGAACAGTACAGTTTTGTTATTGCATTATGTTTTTTAACTTGACTTAGAGGTACAGTGTGTAGAATTTAGTGATATCTAGTGTTGAAGTGTCATGTTGCAGCTGAACACCCCTCACCTCACCCTCTCCTTCCAAACATGAAAAAGAACCTGTGGTAGCTTCAGTTGTCATAAAAACTCAAAAGGTGTTTAGTTTGTTCAGTCTGGACTAATGTAAAAAACATGGTGGCCTCTGTAGAGAGGACCTCCTCCATGTAAATATAAAGTATTTAAATATAAAGGGTATTTTCTGGGGTAAAGAAAACTACAACTCATACAATTTAGATGAAATGAACTAGTGAAAACATCATGAGGATTATTCTACACTACATTTCTGCCAATAGATCCCTTTCACCTAAGAGAGAGATAGAGCTAAGAAGAAAATGTGGCTATTTAAGAAAAGTATTGATCATTATGTAGTGATCAGTGGTGAGATTGTGGAAGTGGCTACAAACAAATCACAGTTTGAACTGTAGTGGGTAAGAGACATTAACTTAGTCATTTTTGTGTCTGTGTGACAGAGAGAGAGAGAAAAGCAGAAATAGGATGGACTGAATGAATGAACACATGTAATTTAATGATATTGTCCAATTGCCCAACAATAATGTCAACAAAGACAAATATGTTTTGTAAATGGGCGAGAACTTTCTGATGTCCTACATTTACACAACAATGACAGTGTGCAAAGCTGACTGTTTCAAACTAAATCTAACAAATCAGAAGAATATTAGAAGGGAAGTACGAGAGCAGCACAAGAAAAGTAGAACACGTGTGAGTGACTGACCAGTGAAGGTAAAGATGAAGACGCAAATGGAGATGACCCATGACACTCGGCTGTTGCTCTCCCCAAACTCCTCCATCAGGTCCTGGAGGAAGACACCCAGGCTCTTGAGGGACCCATAGGTGCAGACCTCCACCAAGAAGAAGGCCACTGCCACAGCCCAGCCCCAACCGCCATCAGGCACTTCTGGGTAAACCTTAGGACCCAAACAACGCCAGGAGCTGGGAGCCGTCATGGCAACAGCAGGCCTCCTGTAGAAACAGACAGAGAGACGACATCAGTGATGAAGGAGTCCTGGTCAGAGCTGCATTTGTCAATTGATTCTTTGTTAATATAAAACACTCATTAATGGAGCTCTATTGAGTCACCATAAAGAGTTTCATATTCCCACAAGAAAACTCTGCATCTCCTCACATATTGAGCAAAGATCTTGAAATCAGACATTTGATGTCATGTTCAAATCATGTCTGTTCCACTTTGTTAAACTATTTGGTTGATTATCGTCCGTTCGTCTATAATCATTTAATTTAATAAAGGTGACTGTGACAAACAGGCTGGGTGAGCGAGCAGTGAAAAGAGCAAACACACGTTTAATGATTCACCATGTGTGTAAATGAAAGTGTGGTGAGTGTGGCGACAACACAGGCCCTCATACTGTCAGACTTTACAGGCTGAGCAGTGCAGGATCTTCCTGAAAACCATCGATTTGTTCAGATATTCAGTATCTGAAATCTTCTGGCTCACAGTGCAAGTAAGTAAGGGACCTAGTTAGTGTACAATACAATTTCCTTTTTGGTAGCAAGAAAACTTTGAATTATCATTTGGACAATCGTGTCACTTTATAAGCCTAGAATAAAAAAGCGATTTTAATGGGATAGTTCACCCAAAAATGAAAATGATCTACTCACCACTGTCATATAAAACAAAAGCACACTCTCACCCACACACACACTCGTGGTCACCCAAATGCACCTCTTATCTGATTTAGGGAGGACAACCCTCCTTCACCTCAGGCTACTTAAGGCATCTCCGTTATGTGACATTTATGTCATATCCCACATACAACAGACACAAGCTATTATTGTAGAAGATACTGTGCAACTCAGCTTTCAGACGGTTGATGAAGCCTCACACTGCTCATGTCATCTTGTGATAGGAAGAAACAAAACTAAAAAAAAGACAAAACACACCACAAGCCTTACCACGTCCAAAATAAAAACCATGAACTGTCACATCACAAAATATATTCATTAAAAAAAAACAGGGCAGGAGATGAAGATAAACCAGCACCATCGTACAGGTTTATTCAAGTTAAAGGTTCGGTGTGTAGAATTTAGTGATCTCTAGTGTTTACATTGCATGTTGCAGCTGAACACCCCTCTCCTCACCCTCTCCTTCCAAACATGAAAAAGAACCTGTGGTAGCTTCAGTTTTCTGGACCTTCAAGAGGAAGTTTTTTCTCTCCACTGTTGCATCACTCTGTCAATTCTGTTTTCTCTTATATTCTCTCTCTATTCTCTTGTTCCGACAATGATTCATTGACAGAAAAACCCAGTGAATGATCTGAATGTCTTTAATTTATCAACTAGGGCAGCAGAGCTGCATCCGATTGGCCAAATATATTAACATGCAGAGCATGAATGTATCGCAGGTTTTGTCAACTTTTGCAATAGTTTATCGCGCATGTTGATATTGTGACGATTTTCGAAGGCAGACATACTAGCAAAACAGTCGACATACAGGTACCACTAAGCTAAGCAGAAATTAAAACTATCATTAACAAATACAGTCACGGAAATTAAATGACAAAGGAAGACATTTGTACAAAATTCATGTACAAACATGTAGGCACTGGTGAGAGGAGCAGAAGAGAGAAAATCATTACCCGTCCTGAGAATGGGTCGTACAGGATTAAAGAATACACATAAAATAGTCACAAATAAATCGAGAGAATGTCACAAATATAATGATCAAAGAAGGGAGCTAATATCACGATTAAAGGACAAAAAGCTAAATATCACAAATATTTTACATCATCTTCGAATTAACTACTCAAGAGAAACAGGACTTAAGAAAATAGTCACTCCAGTCCAGAAGGTGGCGGTAAGAAGAGGAAGCACAATAAAAACAAGAAGAAGAAGCAGCAGCAGGAGGAGAAGGAGGAGGCGGAGGTGCTGTCGGCCCGTGGGAACGCTTCTCTTCACTCTTGTGATGGCTCATGACGGACAAACAGCGGATCGCACCGCAGCCTTATGCGCAGCTGCGGTCGGACATGTAAGCTGGTGGCACATCGAACGTGCTGACTCGTTCAACCGGTGATGTCCGCTAACGTCGGGAACGACTCTGACGTCAGGGGGACACAAAGGGTTCAGTACAAACCCTGCTGCTCTCAGATCGTCCACACCGTGTCAAAGCAGGAACAGAGACACGTGTGCGTTTGTACGGCAGCGGACACTTCACCGCTCTCTCGGTGTTGAGATGCAGGGTTCGAACACATGCGGAGTGATCGAGCACCGTTACGAAGTCCCCTCCTGTCCGCATTATACACCTCTGTCCCTGGCATGAGGGTGTTGTCCGCAGCGGAGACATTGTAAGTCCCAGCAGGGCCACCAAGAGAAAATACATAGAATACTAATGCTAGTATTATATGATAATGAAAATGACGGTACAGCTTAAGTACAGCTGTATTTTTACATGCTGCACCTTAATGGATATTTATTGCACTATTTGTAGTGTTTATTTAGTTATTTTACTTTGAAAAACATACTTAGGTAAGAAAGACCATAGTTACCAGGGTTGAATAGAACAAATACAAAAATCAGTTGGATGTTTTCTGTTCCTTGTTTCTACTGTACCAAAAACTTACCAAACCGTGACCTCAAGACCGAGGTACGTACCGAACAGTGATGTTTGTGTACCACTACACACTTACCAGAGAGTAACATGAGCAACTTTCACCCCCAAGTCTAGGATAGTATGCATTCTTAAATCACGTCGTGTCCTTGTGTCTTGTCACTGGTGTCATGCACAAGAGTTGGGGTCGGAGCCTCTCTGTCTGGGACATCTGAGTTAGATATGAATCAGCATAGACACCACAGTGTACCGCTAGTTGGCCCCTTATCTATAGCCTGACCTTGGGTACTGCTGGGAGAGAAGGGAGTGTGTGTGGAATGAGACAGGCACTGTTCTCCTGACGGTGTACAGATGTGAGGATGGTCAGAAACTCCTCAACATCATGTATGTTGTGATTTGGTGCGATACAAAGAAAATGGAATTGAATTTGAATAGATAAAACCTGACACTTACCAGGCCTGTGGTGCCTTTCAAATCACTGCTTATATAATAATAATTATATTATTATTATTATATAATTCATTATATACTCTATTTCTAACTCGTTGTCTTCTCATTTGTTGATTTGTCCTGTTCGTATGATATAAGTATATCAAAACTTCACCCAGGGATTTTGTAAAATGGCCAAATTCTGGGATTTGCAAAACAAAATCAGGGAGTGTTGCTAATTTAAAGGGACAGTCCACTGAGAAAACAACACCGTAGGTTGGCCTAATGACATCATCGAGGACTGCTTTTTAAATCTGTCTCTCGCTCTAACTTAATATAAGTCCAATGCAGAATTATAGAGGTGGTCCTTTAAGAGAAATAAAG